CCCCAAAACCCCAAAACCCCAAAACCCCAAAACCCCTAATTTAAAACCCTTTGTTGAATAATTAATTCCTATAAATGTTTGAAGAAACAAGTCTTTTGTTATATGAACAATGTTGGGTTTGCATCTGATGACTCATGGTCATTGTTCCAGTTGTCATCATGATCGTTGATAAGGGTAGAGGTATGTTCATAGGCGCATATGTCTACATTTTCATGATAACTGTTTTTTGGAACTTGACGCAGGGATTTGCAGATGTGGACGACCAGCTGATATGGCCAGAATTATGCGCAGAGTTCCTTAATGTCAAAAAGAAAGAATTGAAAGGATCAAAGAAGATCTACAAAGGTAACAAAAAGTGTTTGTATCTTCTCAATCACACAACTATGGCAGATTTGTTCCTGACAGGCATCATGCTAGAAGCAAGGATAAACTACCTGGCTAGATATGGAGTCATCTTCTTCTGTCCCCTTCCAATGATGGCCACCTTTTTCATGAACTCCATCTGGTTCTTTAAGAGAGGAGGAAGGGGAGAGGATCTCGAGCCTTTCTTCCAGTTTTTAGATAAGAATTTTAACTTTTTCATGACTGCTAGGGCTCATTTGTGTTGCTTTCCAGAAGGTCATAGGAGCGTAAAGCCTTATATGCTACCACTGAAAACAGGCATGATCAGGTATGCTTATGAAAGAGAGATTTTGGTTCAACCTATTGTGTCTTTTGGTATGGAAAATGCAATGAGTGAGTATACTCTGCGCCTAGACTGGTCTAAAGAAACTTTCCTTGAGTATTACGCCTGTGATGTAATTGACCCTAAAGATTACAAACCCGATGCAGATTCTAAAATTCCAAAGGAACAAAGGAATCTCCTAAGTTTCATTAAAGATGTAGAAGATATTATGAATGAGAAATTTGAAGAGAATCATGAGAATGTAGACCCTGATAACAATCGTATGAAGTTTCTCCGTGAAGGAGAAGAGAAAGAGTTGTATATGAAAGCGCCAAAAGGTAAGAAATGACAAGCCATGAGAGAATATGCCAGAGAAAAAAGAAAAGAGAAAAGACATTAATACTTGCATACGCTATTTTCTTTATTCAATCTTGGGATGTCTCTTAGGGGTTTTGGGGTTTTGGGGTTTTGGGGTTTTGGGG